GGGGGGCAAACACACCCGCCATTCGGAACCAACCAAGTGCGGCAGGGAGGATTTGAACCGCAGCCAGACCCCTCTCCCTAGCCTCTGGCCAGTCATTCCCTTCCAGCCAGAGAGCTACGCCAGGAAGGGGATGGCGAAACGGGGGGGGGAGCCTCTTTCGCCCACCCACCGCAGCATCCTGTTCCCCGGCCCTGCCAACATCTCAGAAGCCGCCTCTAGCAGCGTGCGCGGGCGTTCCTGGGGCACAGAGTGTTCCTCCTCCGCTGCTGCTGCTGCGTCTAATGCATCCTGGCAGCTGTCCAGGGCTGGAGGGCCTCCCTGTTCCCATTCCACGGAAGGAGTCGTGAAGCACAGCAGCCCCACAGCCTGGGGGCTCAGCCCGACCCCAGGGCGAGGGGCAGGCAGTCCTTGGGCTGCGGCCCTCCCCACCCACCGCAGAGAGGCTGCCCTCGGGAGAGAAGCAGAGCAGAGCACCTCCGGCTCACGACTGCGCTGGCCCTGATCCTGCAGGAGACTGGTCAGGGGCTTCCTTCCCCCCCCCCACTGGGCTGGGCAGGGCAGCGCATGGGGCAGGGCGGCTTTGTTCCGCATGCCTGCAAAGCCTGGCCCTGGGGCGGCTTATTAAGATGCCTCCTACTCCCCCCCCCCCCCCCAACACCACACACTGACAGCATCGCGTCTCCAGGCCCAGAGGCGGCCCAGGAGCATAAAGTGATAATACTGGTGACCCTCCCCCACCTCCAGCCACGGCTCCTGGGGGAGGGGGACGGGGGAGTCCCGCACGCGCAGGGCACTTCAAAGCAAGGTTTTACTACTCCAGCGTAAACTGCCGTGGAGCAGAGGCGGCTGCTGCTCCAAACGCAAGTCTGGAGGCTCCTGCTGCAGGAAAACCTCTCGAACCTCTGGTGGAGCTCTGCAGGAGCAGCCGTAGCAGCAAGATGCGGGATCAGCGGGCCAGTCAGTCCCCTCCTCCTTCGCAGAGGAGGAGGGGGGCCCAAGGAGTCCCCGAGACCCTCCCCAGCTCCAGAGCCACCGAGGGCCCCTCCTACCCCCTCCCTCCCTCCCTCTCACCAACCCAGGAGGGGCAGCAGCCTGCGTCCTTGGGCACAGCCCCCACCCCCCACACACGCACAAGAGAAGCCCGGCTGGGAGGGGAGGGCCGGTTTCCCTCGGAGGGCGACTCTTCGTGACAGAAACCCACAAGTACCGGGAAAGCACAGCAGCATCCACACCAGACACGCACACACAAAATATTCAAAACCAGTGCAGAGCACTAATATCACATAACTAAACCAAGAGCAAACCCCCCCCCCAAAAAAATCGGAGACAAGGAGGCGACACATCCGGCAGGCAAGAGGCTGGAGGAGGGGGGGGACGGGGGGGG